GATATCAAAGTTCATAAGTTTTAGTCCATTCTCGTGTTTTCTCAGTATATGTGCCTCAGAGCCACTCAAACTATTAACTGTAAGTAAACTATGTATGGACAAGCCATAAAATGACATCCAAAACAGGAACGTGGTGTATATTGTAAATAACTAGAAAATGGCAACTCCACGGAGTAGCAAATCCCAACAAACACTATATAAATCATCAATCTGTACAGTCACAATGTAATACTAGTATTACCATCTACTCTTACCTTCAATAAATATTTTGATTATTTTAGTATCATGTAACCATACTTTCAAGATAACTCTGCTCTAGTCAGCCATTTGGTAACGTATTGTATTAGTTGTACATATACATATTTATGAAACCAATGAAAGTCAAAAAGATAGCAATGAAGAGGCAAAAGAAGAATTAGCATCAAGTACTGATGAATATGACAAAATTAATAACAATGAACCGTTCGCGTAACCATCCATCAATTTTTGCAAATTCAAAATACATTATTATGGCTTGAGTAGAACATATTAAGTGGTTTCCAATGCTCAGTTGGCTTTTTATGATCGTATGTAGGTTACATCTATATACCCCGAGGTCGTTAGCCAATGTAGACCATGCCCTAACGACAAAAATCAACAAATTACTAAATTCTGTGTTGTTTTGAATTTCAAACTCAAACAGTCTTTCGCTTATTTCATGTTATCCCCGTTATCAATTTGCAAAGACTACGTTCAAAATATACATTACTAAATGCATCACCGAATGCGATGCTTACATAAATCGTTCATCCTTTCATTGATACACAGTAGTAGAAAATAATGCACCAACCTTAGTTTTCTGTTCCATCGCGGCCATTTTATTGGATAAATCAGTGAACGTAGCCGTCCAACCTCGTTTTCAGAGGTTGCGTAACCGTCATGCTATAGCAGGGTGATAACAAGGCATGCGAATCTAACAAGCCAAAATGAAGCAGGACGTTTAATTGAACGTTTGAACAGTAACAATTTTCTAAACAAGCATTTTAATTCAGCTGTTTAAACATTCAAAATTCATATCTAAAGATCAAGTGCTCCGATTCATCGGCCGGCGCCCGGCCGATTGAGTATTATGTTGAAAACTGAATACAGTTGTGAACATGATACTCAATACTCAAATACATACTCAAATGTGACCAAGGCATAAGTGGCGCTCTTGAATAATTATTTACTCTAAGTAATATAATATATAAACTCGGAATACCTGCAATTAATAATTCGACATGACACCGTTAATGCCTTGATCACATGCTCCGATCCATCGGCCGGCGCCCGGCCGATTGAGTGTTTTGTTCAATATTGTATTCAATTTTGAACAGAATACTCAATCGGCCGGGCGCCGTAGTGAAAATCGGAGCAAATGTGACCAAGGCATAAAACCAGTACAAAGTCTTGGACTTTAGAATGGACAAAAGGTATGCCTCTTCGGAAAATGAAATTCCCAACTAAAATGTCACAAAATGTTCAAATAATTAGAATTTCAGAAAATTTCTAAACGCAGGCTTGCTACAAGCAGAATGCCTGAATTCATTCAACCATATCCTTTTGTATCACCTCAGTATACTCATACCCATTCAAGCGAATGTTCTACAATTCGCGTTCGATTTCAATAACGTAATACCAACTATAAAATAATTAAGGATTTTAAAGGAAAATGTGCATATATTGTACTCTTATACTTCTTTTACCCATTGGTATTGAGACAGGACATTCAGATACAAATGGGTTAATTATAACATTCTAGCTACGGAAAATCCAGTATCTACCCCCCCCCCCCCTCCATCACTCTATTCATGAACCCAGCTTACCTGTAATAGACACCACTATGAGCTCAAAGCGGGAGGGGGGTATTCTTATATTTCCCACTGAATTTTTTCCTTACAATAAAATGGAAATGTGCTATACAAATTGTACAGGGGATGTTGGCTTTCATATTTTTGTCATTCTAATAAGTTTTAGGTTTTGATAATAGGCCTATATTTTTTATACATTACATTACATTATTTGATTCTTGAGTCAGTGGTACATGCATGTACGTGACAATATTCATAAATAAGGCTATTCGTATTTTTACTTTCTAGTAATGGTCCGTTGTTCAAGTAAAATCGATTCAGCTTTATTTTTCTTTTATATAGTATTATTTACGAGGTTTTACATGACACCCTTGGCCTTGGTGTATAAAGCATAAAGATAATTTTCAAGAAAAAGTAAAATAGGAGCAAAATCTTTTTTTCTTATCTGTGTCATGACTGACGCGACGAAAAAAATATAATTTCATTTCACCCTAAACATGAGTTCTTTTAAAAATCGAAAGAAATATTTGTTTAGACCTTATTTTAGGAATTCAATTTGCACTGTTGCTCATAAATATGGAATATTAGATTTGGCAGATCATAATTCAAGTTTTGGAGTACGAGAACATTTATTTGGAGATGTTTCAGTAATTTATTTTCTAGGCAAATCATAAACCTACATTTCATCTACAAATTAACATTTTTACTGTTATTTAAACTAGGGGTACGCTAAGAATTTTTGCATTTTCAAAACACCTCGATCCAAATCGTCATGTAAAACAGATCAAACAAGATAAACAACTGGTCATGAAGATTGAAGTGTCCTCTATCCCAGTATAGCACTAATATGCTCTCCTTGTGTTCCAATCAGAGCATCAACACTATCACTCTGGTGATCTACTGGATTACGCTGGTTACCGAAACGGTTCGTTTTGGTAACAAAATGTCGGAACGTCGAATTTCACACGTTGTAGGCAGAATTCCCACGACATTTTTTAACACAAACGTGTATCAGTATCTTATGTTTAAGAAAATGTACATATGACGTGCGAACAAATAGTTCAGAAGACAACAGAATCGTCGATTTAATTCTTCACTTAAGTTACATGAACGGTTTTTCGAAAAACAGTTAAGATCTTCACTTTTAACCCAAAAACCTGTGCACAATGATCACAACGATTTAGATGCCTCTTTCAAATTACCAATATCATTATCATGAGGTCATAGGGTCGCCTGTTTTACCAGTCAGTTTTATACCCAGGGTTTTATATGCAAAACTGATGAGGCAATCAGGACAACAAGATGTTATAATTTTGTAGAAATTCCATCAAACAATTCATATCTCTAAAATATTCCATATTTAGGAGCAACAGTGTATGTGTGTATGTTAACCTATATTTTGTAAACATTTGTCACGTCTGGGCTATCATATACTGTTTATCTGCAAAAAGTCAATTAATCAGGCAAAAAACTAGTTTTACACTGCGTCATAAAAACTATGTATTCTTTCAAAATATCTTCAAATAAAACACCTATATAGGTTTGGGAATTGTATGTGTCAGGATTTGGTTCATGATTTGAACAAACTCTATAAATTGAATTCAAACATGATCATTAACATCTCACCAAGGTCCTTGTGACATTTTGAAGGTCAATGGAAAGTCAATATAAAATCGAAGGACTGTCACTTGTAGATGATTTTGAAATCGACATGCTATGAAGAAATCATAAGTTGAGACACATCTAACCCTGGCTGATCTTTATAGAATTTGGGAAATAAAGTTCAGAAAAGTTAACAACGTTTGGAATTCACGTTTTCACAACGGTCGTAAATTACGGCCGGTCGTAGCTTAAGTCATAAATAGGCCTGTGTCATTGTTCTTGTACAACCACCCACTGGTAAAAATTTCCGTCCCGGTTTCCGTCCCGGGGTTTCCGTACATCGTCGTAAATTCTGAACGTTGTAAATCCATGGCCATAAGCCCGGTACAACAACTTTGCTGTGCTGTTAGGTTTTATAGTTACCCTAGAATTATACAACAAAAAAGTCGATTTTTTCATCCTAAATCTATTGCAAATAAAATACTTGTCAAAAAGCGGCTCATTTTTTCGGGATGGCCGATATACAATATGTTCACATTAGAAAATAGACTACCTGCCTGTTCTATAGACTCACAGGCAGTTGGTAATAGTTTTATTCACATAAATGTACACACTAATTTTTTAGAACTATATTTATAACTCTATTGAATGCCCATGCATAAATTAAATTTTTTAAAGAATGTCATTAAATAGACTTATGATATACAGCAGTATGCTCAAAACGCACAAGCACAATATTTAGAAATATCGGCTTGACAAATCATGGAAAGGCGTGTACATATAATTCAGGCCCATAACCAGAGGGGGAGCTGGCAGAAGCTCCCCCCCCCAGCCAGAAATTATTTCAAAATCATGCAGTTTTTCACCATTCTGAGAGTTTTAGCCAAAATTGTGAAAAGCTCCCCCCCTGGAAAAAAGCTGGCTATGGGAAAGTATATGACTTAAATAAAATATAAATATTTAAATATTTATGTGTTTTGGAGTTGGCTCAGATCACTAGATATTCATACAGTTAAATCTATCTCGCAAGTGATATATAGATGGCACAAGTGCATAGGTGAGTTAATTTACACAGATCATATGATAAGGATGAAATGTCACTTGACTACAACTGGTGGGAATCAGTTTGTGAACTCATATGTACTGCAGCTAAAGTAAGTAAAAACATGTATCAAATATATCGTGTATTGTAATATATTTCTTAGCTATAGGGACCCCTTCCGTATAAGAATATAGTATTAAATTGAGATCGATTAAAACTAATGTTTCTGTAAAAATTATGTTGAAATCATGTAAACCCAATAATTGATATAACATATTGGGTTAAAGTAGTGATCAAGCGACTCCAAACTGCACACAACTCAAATAAATATAAATGTATGTTTAGTCATCAACTGGTAATTGATATGACGAAAATGTTCCTTTCCAGGAAATTATTGAATTAATTTTAATATCATGCAACATCATAAACAAGCCAATTGGGGTTTAGAACAACGTACAATCTGTGTTTTCATTTCTAGTAAAATCACTTGAAAAGTACTCAAAGTGGTGAAAAACTGCATGAATTTAAACTTTTCATAATTGTATTGTATATCCATTGCCTCATCTATATGGCAGAGAATACATTGATGCTTTACATATTATACTTAGGCCTATATAGAAGAATAGGATGATATGTTTGATAATATCATAAAAAGTTGGTGTTGACCTTTAAAAAAATGAAAGGACGAAGAAAGTTACATCATATCATTCTGTTTTATTGCACATGAAATAACATCATAAGCATTGCATGAATAGCATGATACCGTCAATGTATGATGTATGAAGTTGCATTCTCAATAAAGTTAAGTCTATGCTCTATTATCACTTGATCCTATATCCTTATAATGCTGAAGTTCTATGTTGACTAGACTTTTAAACATATCAGCAATCTCATTCAGTTTGACAGCACTCAGGTTTACCAAACTCCCAAGTACATCATGTAAATGCTGCTTTTCAATTACTCGTAATTTTTCAACGATAGTCTTATCCTGGTTATCTTTCAGTGCCATCTGGTGAGCTAAATACAAATCATGTTCACGATCAACTTTTGAGTGGAATTTTGATATGCGAGGGTCTTTATCTCCATAATCTGGTGACTTGGTGCTGGTTCCAATGTCAATTGTATCACTAAATATGGTTGGCTTGAATACTGATATTGAGGGATCAGGGGTCCCTGTGAACCAGTGTACATTGGGGGATTTGTTCTCTTTTGGGTAAAGTAGCGATACTTGGCTGCCAACTGTTTGTGATACACTGCCATCACGACATATGTTCCCTTCTTTGTCACGAAGCACTGACATCATATTTCCTACAGTGAATTTGTCTGAATGTAAAAAGAAATATATCATATTGATGGGTATTTGGGGCATTGTGTGTCTCACATTAACTGTACCAAGTGATACAATTTCAAAGATTTTGGCCCTGTTACACACTTTAAATAATTCTTCAATCTATTCTTTATCCACTCAAAATATGCAAAGTCAGAAAATTACTACCCTACCTCAAATCTCAACTCCAATAAAAAGCTATAGAAGCTACAATTTAGGTCATTACTCAGCATTCAAAGTGTAAAATCATTCGTTATAGTTAGAATTTTAGCTAGATAATGGAGGATCAGGGTATATGTACAGGGTGAGTCAAAAAAAGTAACCCAAACAAATGTTTATAACTCAGTCAGCATGGGTTTAAATCATATTTTACATAATAAAACCTTGTTCAATGTTCTTTCATTCTACCCAGTCTCATTGGTCTACCCAAAATAGTCACAATTTTATGGCCACTTTACAAAACATGCTCAAAATGCCAGTCTCGTCTCTGGAGGCTTGAACTTGTACACATCAAGTGAAGTTGTTCTGACTACACACTAGCAGATATCTTGTTCTGGCATTTGGAGCATGTTTCGTAAAATGGTCATAGAATTATAACCATTCGAATTGACAGCACTCAGGTTTACCAAACTCCAACGTACATCATGTAAATGCTGCTTTTCAATTACTCACAATTTTTCAATGATAGTCTTATCCTGGTCATCTTTCAGTGCCATCTTGTGAAACTTAGTAGAATACAAGAACATTGACAAGGTTCAATTGTGCCAAATATGTAATTTAACCCATGCTGGATGTTATTATCATTTGTTTGGGTTACCTTTTTTGGCTCACCTTGTCACCCCAGTCAAAGACAACACATACATTCAAACCAAACTCACTATTTGCTGCAAACTTTTCCATGAGGTTTTTCCCGCTTGTAAATCTAAAGTGCCCTGTTTCACGCTCCTCAAGAGGAAAAGGTCTATTATCTGAATGAAACACCTTCGCAAAGTCAAACTCCCCATCTCCTGTCACGAACAAACAGTAAAAAAACATATGAACGATCGATTTTTTATAATATACTAGTAAGAAGATGTTTGTATTGAAATTACTCTTATGAAGCCAATATAAAAGAAAAGACAAAAAGCACATAAAAAACATAGTTAGTCAGGAGGAAACGACCCCCAAATATCCCAAACAGTGATCTAAAACACTAAGAAACATCCCAGACCCACTGAATTTCAACAAATCTCAGATATAGCCCAATGCGTATATACTAGTGCGAGGGGCAAGTCACCAAGAAAATGGAAGTCAACTAGATTATGAAAAATTGAGCCAAAAAGTCAATGAAGTTTCTTTAATGTCTTTGCTCAAAATGTAGAAAACTGCCTGAATTCATATCCAAAAAAAGTTAATTAATGCTTTAATAATAATAACCCAAAGAAGATCTATCTCAGATCTTATTGTGGCTTGTGAGCTGCATTTCTCCTTACTCAGCATTACCTTTATGTAATATTTTTCTCTACATACAATCATAAAAGTACCTGATTTCCACATGCCTGCCTGCTGTGCATAGTGCCTCAGATCGGGGTGACTAGCATCAATTTTGGTATGAATTGTCAGCAAATTAGAGATGTTACGCACACCACCTATTCAAACATTAAAACATTATTTATGACATCCAAGTTTATGTTAAATACAAAGGCCGATCCAGAAGTTCTGATAAAAACGGTCTTTTTCTAAATTAAAAGTAATCACCCGAACTTGTACAATAGACAATGTCAAAAAAAGAAATGTGCAAACAATCATACAAATAAGACGAGGCATTAACTTGCAAAATGTCACCACCTGCCATTTGTTACAGATGCTGAATGCCAAATGCCAACCATCAAACACCATTCAAAGTTGGAGACTGTAACAATATGTAACCACTTGTGTTGGTAAGATAATTACAAAGAACTAATTGGCTACATCCTCCTAAGCAGGTATCCAGAATTCGTACCTCCCTCTTCCCCCAGCTATAACCAATTTGGAAGCGCCCGATTAAACTGAATCACGTGATCTTATTATGCGCAATGACTTATACATGATTTCTGTCGCAGTGTTGCGATAGCCAATCAGATTGTGAGTTCTTAATCGGGAAAGGCTAACTGCTTATCGTAGGGGGTGAAAAGAAAGAATATATTATGGATTTTGAAGCCCTGTGATCGGAGGATGATTGGCTATGGCAGGTTACAACAAAGCATTAACACGACAAAATTAACACGAGCAACCACCTAGTTGCTCACAATATTTTGAGTTCAATCTTAAGTAAGATTTGAATTTCTGAGAACTTGTAGATAATTTCGAAAATATAAATTGGTCAATTTGATGCAACTTGAAAAAAGACCTTTTTTGACCCTGAGGAGGTCATTGGAGGTGAAATCTCAAATCTTAAGTCAGATTTGAACTTCTAAGAACTTGTAGATGATTTTGAGAAAAAATTGGTCAATTTGAAGAAAGATGAAAAAATACCTTTTTGACCTTGAGAAGGTCATTGAAGGTCAAATCTTTTTTGACCTTGAGAATGACATTTAAGATCAAATCAATAGCCAGATTTGAACTTTTGAGAACTTGGAGATGATTTTGAAAAAAAAAATTGGTCAATTTGAAGCAAGTTGAAAAAATACCTTTTTGAACTTTTTTGACCTTGAAAAGGTCATTGAAGGTCAAATCTCAAATCTAAAGTCAGATTTGAACTTCTGATAACTTGTAGATGATTTTGAAAAAATAATTTGGTCAATTACTCAGATGCGAGTAGGTAGTTACCAGTTTCGCCACCAGGTGGCTGATTAGGGAGAAATAACATGGCAGGGTATTGCAAAATTCCCTTAAACTTGAATGTTCATCAGTTTTAGTGGTTCACTTTTCATATTACCCGTATGTGTCTAATAGTTATACAAATTAAAATATGTCCAGAAAAAGAAAATATAATCTGCCCAACACAAGAAAAGATATTTCCATTTTTGTGATTTTACAACATGGGGGCTATGGGGAATCTCCCCGACCTAGACGTCACATTTTCAAAGAAAATTAAATTTTCAAAGTTGATAATCTCTTTTCAAAACGGAATGTTATAAAAACCCTTCGACCTTCGACCTGCACCTTCGACCTTCAGCTTCGACCTACAGGGTGCCCAAAAAGCGGGCCAAAAAGAAAGTTATAAAAACCCTTCGACCTGCACCTTTGACTTTTCTTATGAAAATTGTCATAGTCCAAAAATATTTCTTTGAAAAACAACAAAGTCTAACTTCACATAGATTATGAAATTGAACGGAGCTCTGTCCTCGTCGAAAGCGCTCTGTCATCTCTTGAGTTTACATCGGCGAAATACTTTATAGGCCTGGTGACGTCATCACTTTTCGGACAAGATTTCAAAGTTAAATAACAAGTTATTGTCGCCATATCCCGTTTTAATATTGATCACACAACAAGACTATAATTGGAACTCAATCAATAGAACAGTAATTGATCGCTACCTACTCTAATTTTACTTCGATTCAATCGAATCAAAACCAGGAAGTAAGTTCTTAAAAGGGAAACTTCCATTTAAACTACCCGATTGACTACCCGATCAACATCAACAGAATCTTAATTTTATGACATGAAAATGCTATTTCACCCCTGTAACTATACCTAGAGTACTGCAAACGTTGCTACAATTTAAGATCTTAATGATCTCACCTGTGAACCACAAATCAAGTGACTCTTGCGTAGTCTGAGATCGTCAAAAACTAGCTTCTATAATATTTTCTTTTTGGACAACCTGTAAGTCGAAAGTGAAGGTCGAAGGTGCAGGTCGAAGGTCGAAGGGTTTTTATAACATTCCTTTCAAAACTATATTTCTAGATGTAATTTTACATGTAGATTCCAAATATAACATCAGTTTTTAATCATGTAAATCAAGATTATTTCTACTCGCATCTAGGATATTTGAAGCAACCTTTTTTATCTTTCAAAGGTCATTGAAGGTCAAATCTTAAATATAACGTCAGATTTCTGAAAACTTGTAGATGATTTAAAATAAATTAAAGTTAGTCTAAACAGTATTTGGTAAGTTATTGGAAGTTGTAAGAATTTGTTACAAACACCGATCGCCAATCACCAACCGCCGTCAAAAAAAGGAGACCAAACAATATGTGTCACCACTTTTTGGTGGTGACATAAAAACTGTATTTGAATGAACATGTACTCACTCGTAATATGTTCAGCTGCCCATAGATGTCCTGCTGTCTCAAGTATCCATGCCTCAGAAGCATCAGCAATCAAAAAGCTGTTATGGTAAGATAACCCTCGACGGGATTCTTCTTCAAAGCATGGCCCACCCTGCCCATATTGCCCCAACAGGTGCGTTATCACATCAAGGCATTCTTTAGCAGTACCACCTCTTTCAAGACCAAGTCTACGAAATCAAAAATCAAACTGTTATCAAAATGTATTGGCCTAGTTCTATTTTTATTATGTCACCACCAGAAGTGGTGACTTATTGTTTTAGTACCCAACTATTTGAGGATGGTGTTTGGTGTTTGTTGTTTGGCATCTGTAACAATAATCAGCATCTGTAACAAATGACAGGTGGTGTAAATGCCTTGTCTGGTCATTTTCACATAGAAAAAATATTTCATTGCAATGTTAACCTATACCATGTCTGCATTCATTTTACATTGCATATTTATTTTAGAGCATTGTAACTTTTCAAACTAGACAACAGCAACACCAAAGCGTAGCAAATCCCATTGAACAGCCATGGCTCGCATATTTACAAACAAAGTATATAGCAAAAATGGCAGCTATTTTTCAAAATGGCCACCTTCTACCAAAAGTGTCATTAGACAGTGTGCCATGCTTATAGTATTCACATACCAGATATGAACACTGTGTTCTCCAGTGATGGTAGAGATTCAAATGAAGTAAACTAGCATTCCAAGAAATGGTGTCTTCTGGGTACAAGCACTGGCGGATCTGGGGGGGGCCCAGAAAAAAATATTGGGCTCAAAAAATGTTTGAGCCAAAAAGTGGGCCTTTTTGGTCATAAATGGGCCTAATAAGGCATTATTTTTCAATTTTAAGCCAAATTTTGAATAAAATGGGCCTCAAAACTTCAAAATTTGGGCCCATTTTTGGTTTTAGGGGCCCAAAAAGTTTTTTTCTAAGACCTGAATTTTGCCCCCCCCCCCTTGTTGGTTCCCAGATCCGCCCCTGACAAGTGTTCACTTAGGTGTTTTACAATTGTAAGTTGCACTGAAAAAGTATTTATCTCGAGAAAATTGTTTAAAATTCAGTACTATACTGAATTAATACTTTATCCTGAATAGCATTGATTTCAGTTTGAATCATCTTTAGAGCACAGGTATAAAGAAGCGGACAGGATATGGTTTTAAATAGAAGACCTTGGATTGGTATCCTTTGAATAAAATTAATGATTTCTTTGTTTTGTTCTGAGCATATATTTATCTTGGTGTAGTTCTTGATAAGCAAATAGCTGAATGGAAATCAATATGGAAAACACAATGTATTCAATAATGTATACCAATTGCACACACACAAGGGTGTAGTAGCATAGCAATGTACACTTACATTATTTGTTTATAGAACCTGACATAAAGATAAATACTGCGCAAAATAGGAATACATAGTAAAACATTATATATGGAGTAAAGTCGGTAGAACAGAAGGTAAGAACAGTATGACATGGCATACCATGACTAGAAAGACCCTCATCAGATATATCATGACCAGATATACCATGACAGGCCCGTAGCCAGAATTTTCCAAGGGGGGTTCACTTTCCCAAAAAATTCTAGGGGGGCAAATTTGGCCAAATATCACTTAAAAAAATAGTCAGGATGGTGAAAACCTGCATGATTTTGAAAGAAATATTGGCCAGGGGGGGGGGGGGGTTCGCCCGAACCCCCTGGCTACGGGCCTCCATGACTAGATATAGATAGATGTGCATGTAGATGGCTAAATATACCAAGACATGACAAGATATACCATGACTTTATCGAAATCAATGAGATATACCATGACTGGATAGACCTTGATCCGATATACCATGACTGGACAGACCTTGATCAGATATACCATGACTGGACAGACCTTGATCAAATATACCATGACTGGACAGACCTTGATCAGATATACCATGACTGGACAGACCTAGATCAGATATACAATGATTGGATAGACCTTGATCAGATATACCATGACTGGACAGACCTTGATCAGATATACCATGACTGGATAGACCTTGATCAGATATACAATGACTGGATAGATCCTGATCAGATATACAATGACTGGATAGACCTTGATCAGATATACCATGACTGGACAGACCTTGATCAAATATACAAAGACTGGATAGACCTTGATCAGATATACAATGACTTGATAGACCTTGATAAGATATACCAAGACTGGATAGACCTTGATCAGATATACGATGACTGGATAGATCCTGATCAGATATACCATACTAGTTGTACTTTCAGAAATGTGACAATGAGGTTTCTAAATAGATTCTGGCAAACGAAAATGTACAAAAGTTACCTCCAAAAAACTTGCAGTAAAAAGCTTCACACAAAAAACACAGAAGAAGACATTGGTTCAAAGGTAAAAACAACAACAATATGTACATGTAGAATTAAATACGATATATAACAAAAAGAACTTCAAAAACATGTGTTTCTACTAAAATCCTCCAAGAGGTTAGCATCAATATCGATAGTTGATTGTGCAGGTAGATCAATTTATGACTTATTTTCTATGTTGGAATATTCCAGTATCAGAGTTAAAGGTTGTTTCACTCTAATTGCCTCCTCTCCAAACCCACCCCTGCTAACTTTATACACATACAAATAAAATATATTTCATAGTCAAAGTGAATGATTTAGAATTTACACCTACCTCACAAGGTCCATGCCCAACAATTTCTCTTCAAGATCCTTCACTGGGTCACACAACTTGGTCCATACAGCCTCATTCCCGATCACAACTCCCTTTTCATTGGCTCCCATCTCAGCACCCCACATCCAGGCTGGCTTGCTGAGTGTCACTGCATATGTATGGGGAATTTGAGACACTTCGATGTATGTACACTGTTAAAATAAAATATAAAAAAGGCATATGAGCAACATTGTACCTAAAAATCAACAAGTCACGTGGCAGGAATGACATCACACAACCATGTAGGATTTTTGTAGGGCTTTAAGGCATCCAAAATATCAACTGTACTCTCAGTTAATTTCACGAGTTTTGATTTCGCGAATTTTGAGAAAACACGTAATTTTTGGTTTTATTTGATCTAATTAGCCACTGTAACAGACATTGTAACTAAGTATCCCTGCATTTATCGCCTTAAAACACTCGACAAACATTTTACAAAACATAAAATGCAATGGAATCCCAGGTGATAAAAAATTTCACATAGAGATGATAAAATAATTTGAACAGGGAAGGTGCAAACAACCCTCCAATAAGTTTTTTCGGATATGTTCTGATTTTCAACCCCTTCCCCTGCTTTTTCAATTTTTGTTGCATCCAGGCCCGTAACCGGGGGGGGGGGGGGATGGGGGGGGGGTTGCAGGGTTCGGAAGCCCCCCCCTGGCCAAAAATTATTTCAAAATCATGCAGATTTTCACCATTTTGAGCATTTCTCAAGTGGTTTTAGCCATGTTTGGGCCAAAATTGTCAAATGTGAGCCCCCCCTGGAAATTTTTGAAAACTGAACCCCCCCCCTTGGCAAATCCTGGCTATGGGCCTGTGCATCAATATGTTGCGATTTTGACACACAGCTAACCCATTTAAAGGAATAATGCATTCCTTCAGGGTTTTTAAAGGTATCAATTACGGGTGACCAAAATTAAGCTGAAAGCAATGGATCGTATGAGTTTTCCCTAAGGGAAAATAACATGGCAAATATTGTTTCCCACTTTATCTAAAAGGAATTTGCATCATTTATAGAAAGAAGGGACTATCAAATGCTATATACAGGGTAAAATACATGCAAATCCTTTATTTACCTGAAGTTTTGAACCTGATGCATGATCCTGAGCGCTGCAATAAATCACTTCCTGAACTTCCATTGGTGGGCGGTCAGAGTTCTTTCCAAAAATAACACCCCCATGGCCATGTTTCCCCGTTTCTGGTGGCAGTGCAACAAATGTGTCACATGACAATGGTGGAATCCAGTCTCCCATGTATTACCTACAATATAAACAAAATACAAATACAGGGTGTTAAAAAAACGCAACCTAAAGAAATCGCTATATCTTAGAAAATACTTATTCAATTATGCACGGACATCAAGTTTTTTCTGCAACTCTTAATGTATGTATATAAACAGTTATTAAAAAAGGAAGTGAAGTTTCGCAGAAGGTACTTGACATCCATGCAATTACAATTAGTAAATAACATTATGTTCAGGAAAAGACCACTGGCGGATCTGGGGGGGGGGGCTGTCCACCCGCCCCTTGGGTGGGCCCAGAAAAAAGTACTTAAGGCCATGATTATTTAAGCTGAATGGCCAAAAAAAACTTAGGCCCCAAAAAGTAGGCCTTTTTTACCATTACTGGGCCTTGTAAGGCCTTTTTTTAATTTCAGGCCAAATTTTGAAGAAAATGGGCGTCAAAATTTCAAAATTTGGGCCCACTTTAGGGTTTTAGGGGCCCAAAATTTTTTATCTCTGATCTGAGATTTGCCCCCCCCCCCCCTTGTTGGTTCCCAGATCTATAATCTAGACTATGATCTAACAGTAAACTATAGTATGTATAGCTCCCGAAGTTGGTTAGTTGTAAAACAAGGTGTATTTATTGAGCTACTGATCGTCCTTCAAAAGAATCTGGCCGGGATCCTTGGGATATAGCATGGACTAAACGAGTTAAACCTTACCAAATTCAACTTTAGAAAAAGAGCGAAAACTATTTTCGAAGTGTGTGTGCTAACGTGAGTTCTATAAAATACCAGAAATATTCTGAATAGTAATGTAAATTTTCATGTTTTCAAAAGAGTTCATTTCTTTCCAATTTGTTATAAAAACGTGTAGAATATGAAAAACGTCGAGTTTATGTTTAAGAATGTATCATAAATAAACTAATGTTTGCCTACATAAAATCATTGCGCATGCGCAAAAGTAATTGTCCTTGCATCGACTACCGGCGTCAGAAATCGTGGGAAATTGCATAGTTATGGCCTTGTTTCGCGTTATTAAACCTCAAGTACTTCAACAATTAAAGGTATGTATCTATATCTAAGCCGATTAATACATTTTAATGGAAAGAAATTTCTGAATCACAGACGAAATTAGTCTCTTCTTTGGGTGACAAAAAATCCTGAATTTTCGTTCCCTGCCTGACTCATTTCACACGAATCGGAGTATAATTTATTTCACACCTCTGCCCGCAGGGAGCAGGTTAGCCCTATGAAATGATAGAGAAATAGTGACATTACAATATGTCACTGTCCATTCCCGAAATGATAGACTTTGAAGGAGTCTTTTATCGCATCCTACGACCCCTTTAGACGGTGAACACCGCCTCTAATGCGTTGGATTGTCGTAAGGACTTGCATTAGAGGCGGTGTTTATCCTTGTAAATTCATGCCAATATAAGTTTTTTTTGATTATTTTTGACGGTTCACTTTATTTTAATCTTCTGCTTAGAATCTCTGCGTCATTTACAGAGAAATATAAACAAAATGGATACATTGATGATTTATACAAAAAATTACCATAGCTTTGTGGTTGTAGAAGGTTGAATTGTGCTAATTTTGTGGCAAAATCGCCGTTTGTCGCTACTGTTCACAAAATCTTTATGGCGGCTTCTATTCTCACGAGATTTGACGAGAGTAGCCATTGAATATTGCTGCCATCTATTTAACTATACAGAGTTTATATCATTCATTCGACCATCATGTATTCGATGGAAGAAATCAATGATCACTATTCGCATAACATAAAACCAAAGTTTGGATTTGATTTGAAGCCAGAACAATTACAAGACGTGATAACAAACATATTGAATCAAGAATCCACTATAGCAGTTTTACCAACTGGTTATTGGAAAACATTACAACACGTGATCATCACATTACGTCACGTGATCATCACACTGATTTATGCAACGCATGCGCACTTGAAATTAGGTCAGCGAAAATGTCAAGAAGACCGGTCAGAAATGCAATTTCGTCTTATCTGCAACAATTACACATAATTACTGTAATAAAGCGAGTCATTTATGGGTTCATTTTGAAGATTTTTGGTCCCGCTATCCAGTGGTGAAAGAATTTTCAAGATTGAGGTAAGATCTTGGGAGAAAAGTCAAAAACATCAGATCCGGACTTTTCAGCATTTCTTAAATTTGATAAATTTACATTGCACGTTATGCACCCCTGGGGCCAACACGATCCTCAGAGACCCAGAGGGTGAATGAATGCACCTACGACCCCTTTAGATTGTGGTCGTACGCCCGTATCATTTAGTATGTATCCAACAGACTGACTAGAAGTCAGTCTGTTATGATGTACTACTTTCCTGTGGAAATTGCAGTGAAATTTTTTGCACAAAATTATCAATTGGAGGAACCATTTCTTCAATAAAATAAACATTACAAAATTTCAAGTAAATAGTAAGGTACAATTAAATGCAATAAAAAGTAACACAGCATATTGTCAAGTGGAAATAAAGCTAGTTGAAGTAACAAATGTGCAAATAATTTTACCCAATCGGCCATTTTGAATAGGACTTCCTTCATCTCGCCTTTTTAAAAGCTAGGCCTGTCATCAAATTCAAATGTCATTGTCAATGGTAACTTTGACAAGTCAAACTTTTCTCTCAGAAATATTGTTGACAATCGATTTCATGATGATGGTGATTCCAAAAAGAGTTGTTCTGCTTTCAATTCAGTTGAAAAACGAGTCGAAAATATGTTCAATATCCAAAGATATTTTGAAGAGGGGGAGAAACCCCAGGGTTCAAAGATGACATACGCTTATAATGTAAATCTGTATTGAGATGATATCGTCGCTGATTGGTTTAGCGAGTCGATCATTGATTGGTTTAAAACTAGGTCAATTTGAAAACTTTGAAAACCAAGATGGGGGGTAAGTACTTCCAGGAAAGGAGGTGCGCGAAGGAGGAAATCGTATGTCATCAATTGAATCGGGGGTTTTCCCTCCTCTTGATATTTTGGTAAAACACAATGCATACTGTGTTAATAGGTTAAATGTATGGCTATGTGGGCTACTGGTAGTATGTAAAAAATGTTTGTTGTTCACATGACAGGATCATTGACTGACATTTGTTCGCTATAAAGAGAGATTCATTAGAAAAAAACTAAGTTGTTCATCTATACAGGTTTTACTGTATTTATTGGTCACTGACAAGATTGCCAATGTCATATTTCCAATGCTAAAGACCATGGTGTTTTCTCATGAGATAATGATGGCAAAATTAGATCTTTAGTTTTTACAATTTGTGTGATTTTAGTTAAGATGTAATTCAGAAATATAGACCGAAGAGCAGGGGTATTATTGCCGACTACACCTCGCAGGGCTAGGCACAAACATTTTCTGTACCCCGAATGACAGAAGGGAGTGAGGGGTTCGAAAGCTTTTGTGCCTAGCCCTAAGGGATGTATTCAATGATATTACCCCTGCTCTGAGGTCTATATTACGATTTGAAAAACTCATCAAAATGTTTCGAATATTCATTATGGTTCGCCATTACTACGACCCTCAGTTAGACGTCACACATTACACATATTACCAGGGGTATTCTTCGTGAATATACCCCGGGTAAAATGTTGAGCTTGTTTACAGTTTATAGAAGGTGTGAATACAGTCATGTTCGAATTATTAATATTATTCATCATTATGGTAGGTCACACCTTTTCCATCTCTGTACTTTTGGGATGCAACTTTTGAGAGTGAGATGTTATGAGTATCATCAGATTGGTTATCAATGACTTAGTAACATCACAGTGAATTTCAACAAACGAAGTACAAGTACCAGTTATTCTAAATGAGGAGTCAAATCATGTAATTCCTTCTTATAGTACAAAGTTCAAAAACCAGTTCATATTTTTTATTAATTAAGAATTATACGGAAGTTGGTCTGAATGTTACATAATGCAATTTTTATTAATGTTATATTTGTTATTAATGATTGGGATACAAATACTATATGTTGTAGTATGTGTATATAGTCAGATGGTAAACATCTGTACATGCTGAGTTCAATATCTACAATCTGCTTTACACAAACTGACAAACAATTGAATTCAAATGTTAAGGGCAAATATCTTGGATCATGTACATGTTTTTTTTGGAATATCCAGGGCACTCAAATTGCCAAATAATGAATTGCTTTTTTGTATTAAAGATCATGATATGGATTGGATATCCTATAATTTTTTTCTATCATTTTTTCCAAGAGTTGATATTAATTTCTCATATGACTAACAAAGATACAGCCATCTTTACCCCATGCAAGATATTGCCATCTTTCATCCTAAAAAGTCACACGTGCAAGATGAGATTTACTTGTGACATCACTGGTCTATAGACATCATCAACATGGCAACGGATACACCGTTGCTATGAGTATCCATGCCATTTCTACAAAACTAAGCTGTGACGTCATAACAATGGAGCTATGTTGCCACGTGTATCTATGTATTTTCTTCAATATTGTTATGACGTCATAACAATTGAAAGATGAAGTTCAATTAATTTCAAGCTATTTTTCACTAAGTTTTATGATAAAATGGTGAAAATATGGCATAATACAGAGTCATATGAGAAAAACTTTCTTGTACTCGTACCTGTGCAAGATCGTCCATTCTTGACTCGCTTTGATAATGTTTCTTTATCTCGTCTTCGACTCGATAAAGAAGAATTATCAAAGCTCATCAAGAATGGACGATCTTGCACAGGTACTCATATAAGAACCTCTATATCTGATGAGTAAGAGGTTTTTACAAAGAGGTATCCTGCTTTGTCAACATTTGCGTATTCTTCTATGAAGTACTGTCACTTTCCTTACTGTAACTCTCATTATTACACCCTGGGTATTACACTAATACTAGTTCCTAAATTGGTTGAATTCATGATGTCACATCAAGATATGTTTGAAATGCGGATCACACTAACATATTTTAGCAAAAGATCCCCAAACTATTGGCATTAAAAGTGGTACAGTATTTACTGCATTTTTGTATCAATGCTTTTCAGTTTATCCATTTTATATTTATTTTTGCAGTTTTTCTGAGGTCAAATACTTATGTACTTCTTTTATTTGTTGAAAATACATTATAGTTTTTCTCAGGTCAACTACATATTTCCCTCTTTTGTGTGTTAAAATAAATGTAAAAATTGTCAAATTGACTGATAGCTATACATATAAGGAGATATAAAATTTGAATGTAATATCAGTAAGTAAGAATGTCATTCTGATCTCTAGACAGAAGTTGTATGATAATGTCAACACCACAAGTGGTGCATATTGTTATAGTCTCGAACTTTCCTGTGGACATTGTTCAGTGGTTGGTGTTCATTGGTTGGTGATCAGTGGTTGAACCATTGGTGTTCAATGGTTGGTGTCTGAAACAAATGGCATTTTGCATGTTAATGCCTTGTTATGTTTTGTGTTTAGCCTAGGATTTAAAGTAACTCTAGGGAAGCTGGGAGTGTCTTCCCGCATTTTCAAATGTAGGCCTTATTCTGAGAATATTGTCCTTACTTGTTAAGTTTTTATTAACAAGAATCCATTTTTATATATGGACTTTAGTTTTTCAAAAACCACCCATCCTTTCTATCAATTCGAACCTCTTAAACTAAACTTACTTCAAGAAGTTAGGTAGTTCACTAAAATTTAGTTTCTGATATTATATGCTTTTGAAAATTACAGAAGACAGGCAGTATTGAAGGGCAACAGTCACATGAGCCACATGGAATTGTATTACCCATGTATCTTCTGTTCAATTGTGAATGCCTATTTTAATCCTCATATCTCTTTAAGTACCTGACCTTTAACCAAATCGGCCTTTAACATTATGATCTTATTATGTATGTAGAGATAATAGTATGTTTAAGCTCTAGAATTTTTTGTTTGTTGTCTTACTGGTAACGTCTCTATGAATTCATAAAATATAGTAAAATATGTCAGTGTAAACCATAGCAACAATTTGTTAGTAAATAAATTTCTTATGATTTGAGTTATTTGGACCAGAAGAAAGGA